AGCCAGAGTGCTCCTTGGAGACCAGGATGGCTAAGCTTCGTCTCTCATACTTTGGACATATTGTCAGGAGAGAACAGTTGCTGGAGAAGGATGTCATGCTGGGTAAGATGGAGGGTCAGAGAAAAAGAGGAAGACCCCCAATGAGATGGATTGGCCATCTCATTCTTAACCACTATGCTACCAGAGCTCCTTGATCCTGCAGCATAATAAGGGCTATATTGTTTCCATCTATTGTGGTTGTAATCTGTTCCTACAATTCCAATGGCATAAAAATATTAAGGGGCTAATTTTTCCTACTGTTAACACAGAAGAGAGCTCTATATATGTGGAGCCTTCAAAAAGTTAATGAAAAAAATGATTTACTGGAATTTTCCCTCTATTTGAAGTCACCTTGTCTGCAGCAAAAAACTGGGGTGCCTAAAAGCTAACCCTTTACAGAAACTATAGGTAAGACAATAGTCCTTAGTTACGTGTGAAAGCACTAAGCCATGAATTTAATATTTCTCTGATTCTTCCAGTATTGTTCATTCTTTAATTGATTCTCCACACCACTATTGTTGTTGTTGTTGTTGTCAGGTGCCATACGAGTCGGAACCGACTCATAGCGACCCCATGCACAGCAGAACGAAACAATGTCCGATCCTGGGCCAACCTCACTACCGCTGTCACACTTGATGCCTCGAGAAACTTGTTGTTATGTGCCGTGGAGTTGTCATGTGCTATGGAGTTGGTTCCGACTCATAGTGACCCTGTACGGGGTTTCTGAGGCTGTAAATCTTTATGGGAGCAGAAAGTCTCATCTTTTTCCCACTGAACAGCTGGTAGTTTTGAACTGCTGACCTTGTGGTTCGCAGCCCGATTTGTAACCACTACTCTACCAGAGCTCCTTCGGAAACCCTGTACAGGGTGGCTATCAGTCGGAACCAACTCCATAGCACATAACCACCAACTACCACCGTGCTATAGGATCAGCACTTGACTGCGAACCACAAAGTCGGAAGTTGAAACCCTCTAGCTACTCCTTGGGGTTCCTGTACCTGGTCGCTATGGGTCAGACCGACTTGATGGTACTTAACAACAACAATCTTTCACTTGGAGTCCTGGCATGGCACTGTAGGATAACACTGGAATGCAAACCACAAGGTCCACGGTTCAAATTCACCTCACTAAGTTGGAGTCGACTTGACAAGGCAGCACTTAACAGGTGTGTGATTCAAACCCACCAGCGGCTTGAACCAATTCGACAGCACTAACAAACAACCACCTTTTACTTATTTTTCTGAGAAAACCTTGAACAATTTCAGAAACCCTCAGACATAGTATCTTTCACCTTTGTTTTTCTAGTTAGTCTATACATATATTTTATATCTATTTATTTTGTCTACTTTGTTGTTGTGAAGTACCATTGAATCGAGTCAGTTCAGACCCATAGTGAGGAGCACCTGGTGAGCATGAACCACCGAATTTGCAGTTCAAACGGCCTTACTGTCTGGCTTTGCAGTCTACCACCATTACTGTTGTAGGGTTTCTGAGGCTGTAAATCTTTACCGGAACAGAAAGCCTCATCTTTCTCCTGTGGAACTGTTTCGAACTGCTGACCTTGATATTAGCAGTGCGATTTGTAACCACTGAGCTCCTTCCACTAACCAGTGTGAATTCATCTTGCTATTACATTGTTGGCTCCTAGTGTGGAGCTAGAGGGTAAGCAGTGGCCTGCTAACCGCTCGGTTGGTGGTTCTAAACTACCAGTGCCTAGTTGGAATCAACTCGAAGGCATTTAACATTACCTTGTTATGTGTGGCGCTGTAGGATAAATGCTAGATGCTAACTGCAAGGTCGTAGGTTCAAACCCACCAGCCTCTCCTTGGAAATACTATACAGGGTGGGTCGCTAAGTAGTTGAACCTACTCGATAACAGTTAACAAAATCTCAGTACAGGGTTCAAAAATAAGTGTTTAATAAACGTTTGGTAAAAAGAATGGATGATAGCTTCTGCAAACTGAGGGAACTTTGACCTTTTGTGGGCTCAATGATCTCACGCTCTGAGAATAAAGCGTATTTGTGCCTAAATAGTACCCAGACTAATAAACTTAAAACAAAAAACCAGTGCTATTACGGCCAGAAGGAGCTCTGGTAGCGTAGTGGTTACGAATCGGGCTG